AAAAGTGTTATTTCTGAAATAGGGCAAATTCCTCTATCGGCTTGGCTAGAACAACAGCAGGTTTGCTTTCATCATTGTAGACTCGTTGCAGTGATGACAATGAGGCCTGGTATATTCCCAACATGTCTCTACTGCTGTACTTCGAGGCGATATGAAGACTAATGTTCTTTTATTTCTCCCAACAGGAGATTCTTGGGCATCTCCATGGTGTTTGAAGTGTGTAGTAACCAACATATGCAGTATGGTAAATGGTTTGGATTGGTTTTTCGAAAGTAAGTGCACAGTACTAGTCACGGTCTAGTCATAATGGGCTTAGGAACCAGTGCAGTGCAAAAATTACAATTCCCTTCTCTTGCAACTCACTGTTGTGGCCACCAAATAACAGTGCTACTATTGAGAAGAGACATTTTACCACAGAAAATGGTGCATGTTTTTATCGTTTACGTGATATTTCAAATAAGACATGCGCTTTCAGGTTTCGGATTACATTAATGGTCCTCCTGTGAACGGACTGGGCAATCGGGTAAGAATTTATTGGGATAATGATGAATTAGAGTTTTGTAATGATGATTGGCATTAATGTTCAACTGCTCTTATTAACCATGAAAGAGTATGTGCCATTCTGAACACTCAAACTCCCTTCATTATGCTTAAGTGTAGATTAAGTGTAGACATGTTCTTCTTTTCTAATGTTTCCTTCTACTTTCAGGCTCCAGAACACAATGTGGGTGAATAATCCTGTGAGTTAATGCATAATTTGTACCATTACCATTAGGAAGCTTGTCCTAATGGTAAATGTTACTTCTATAATTTTTCCATTTGATAATGATAATGCATTTTGGAAAACTGATTTGTTAAAGTGAGGTCTATCCCGACTTGCCCCTCTCAGTAGAGCGTAGTCATTGGAAATGCCTCGGAGATAAAGTCTGTAGTATCGCTTTACCCATGTTGCTAATATCATTAGCTTTGTGGGAAAATTCTGCAGTACATTCAATGAGCTTAAAGGATGTACCTTCATTTGTAAGGCATAGCAAAGAGCAAGCATCTCACTTGTGTAAATTTCCACTCTGTAGGTGTGATCTGAAGGATGTCCACTAGAAGGCGCAACACCCCTTTTTGGTGATTGGCGGTGTGTTAGAGGTTTGTAGTGTTAAAATGGCTTATTAGAAATAACATGAGTCAGCACTGTTGGTATCTGCATCCAGTTGTATGTCTGACTGGAATGTTCAAATGCCAGTGCTAGAGAACCTCAACCCCCTGCTCTTACTGGACCTTACATTTGTTGTTGGGTCCTGGCGGTGGTCGAGACAAGGCCTCTTCCAGAGTTTAGAAGTGCTTTTTGTTAATATGTAAAGATGGTTGGACTACAGTATTTGTAGTGTCTGATAATTTGGTTTTACTTCAATTAATCAAGCAGCCCAAGCTGGGAGCCAAGCTGTTTTTGATGTAAACTTTCCTGCACAGCCTCTCTAGTGTGGAATGGGTCGGTCACTGGTGTGCTTTCCATTCTCCCACATACTCCGCATGCCCCAACCCTTTACAACCCCCCGCAGTCATCCAAGACGCTCTCCGGGGAGGATAACGACATGCTGCGACTTTCTCCTTTTAGAAGCCTTGTGACATTGTTTCAATAGCTCGGTGTGTCTTGATAATCCTGACGTGTTCGTGTTGTGCCCACAGGTCCCATATGACTAGATTGAAGAATGAATGCTGGCAGCTGATCGTACTTGCAGTACTGCAAGATGAAAAGTAAGGCATCTGTTCTTGAACGTTTCCCAGTTGCATGTATGTGATAAATTTGGTCATATACCAAGGCTTTTAGGATACATGGTTCCTGACTTGCTGTGGACATGACCAAAAATTAAAACCCATTCTAATGAGTCACTTCAGTTGTATTTCTGTTGGGATTTATTAGGAACATTTCCTTAAATGCACTTAAACTCAAAATGGGAGGTTGTACGTGTTTGTTTAATTGTTTATGCTGTTACAGGTTTGGCGTTGGAGTGAAGGGTTTCCCAGCCAGACTTTTATTGGAAGGTGAGTTGTTCCACATCTCTGGATCACTTTCAAAGGGGGTCAGCCAATTCTTTTTACTGGCGACCCTTAACGCTGTGATCCTACATCAGTGCCCTATGAGATATTTTGCAAGGTTTTTTGCTAAATAAACTGCTTGTTGTCTTTAGGGCAACACCTGATTCACTTAAAGCGGTATCATTGGCATATTGTGTTAGCACTTTCAATATGAATACAATTTGCTTTTGTCTTTAACAGTTGGTGCTGGTGAAGAGATCATACTTCACAGGAAATCTGAAAAGCTTTTGCTTTGGAGTGTTTTGTGGTGTAGTTTTCAATAAATTATTAAAGATCTGTGTGGTTGAAGGGTTTTTGTATTTTTTTTTCAAAAAGGGTGAAGAACCAATGTAAAATCCCAAATATCTCCTAACATGAGTACAGTTTTTATTTTATTTTTTATTTTATTTATTTATTTTTTGAGAATATAATATAGCATTTAAACTACAGTTTTCTCATTATTAGAGCTCACCTTAGAGAGGATAACATTAAGATTTGCAGTCTCCAAGCCACATATCCAGTGTCATGCCGGCAGGAGATTGGTTCTCAGGACTTCATGTGGGTCATGGGGTTCAGATTAAAGGATTCTCTCTGCAGAATGCAGCTTTTAGTGCTCCACTTTTGCTTTGACAAGCTGCCTTTGAGTGTGTAACTAAGCCTTTATTTGTGAGTGCTTGAATGTTCTATTGCAGTGTTTGCTCTTTGGGGAAAGTCTTAAAGTGTAGTTTTCAGCTGAGCATTTGTTCATAAGGTGTCTGGTTAGGAAAGATAAGTTGTTCAGGCCAAGCAACAATAGACAAGTATTTTATTCACTTGAATCTTTAGATTAATTTTGATGAATTAACTTTTACAAGCCATTTTAGTATTCATGTATTAAGTCGGTATGCAAATAGTCAAGCTTTTTGCTTTTGTCTTCAATGACAAAGGTGTAAAACTGATCCTTGAGATGAACTATGAAATATGATGTTAGGGTTCTTTAGCCTTTCCTTATTGTTAAATTTTTTTATAAAGGGTATTACAGAAGGAAAATATTCAATGCTGGCTGAACAATTTCTTGACTATGAAACGAAACATTCTCCATTCAAAATGCTATTAATGGACTAATGTCGTGGCCTAATGGTTAGAGAGTCAGACTCGTAACCCAAAGGTTGTGGGTTCGAGTCTCGTACCTGCAGGGATTGTAGGTGGGGGGAGTGAATGTACAGCGCTCTCTCCCACCTTCAATACCATGACTGAGGTGCCCTTGAGCAAGGCACTGAACCCCCCACTGCTCCCCGGGCACAGCAGCAAAAAATGGCTGCCCACTGGTGGCTCTGGGTGTGTTCACGGTGTGTGTGTGTTCACTGCTGTGTGTGTGCACTTTGGATGGGATAAACGCAGAGCACTAATTCAGAGTATGTGTACGAGTATGTCACGTCATATTTAAAAACATTTAAGTACAGACATACCTGATATATAAAAAAGTCCAAAGCTTGCCACTCAGTGTTTTCAGTGGTAATGCTGAAAGGAATAGCGTCTAAAGAGGAGTGCTGTCCTTTGAACTGAACAATGCCTGTCCCTGTGAGAGATCAGAGTGTCCCAGGGATCTTATCACAGCTGCACACAAAGAATGCTTGTTGTTTTATGACGCTCTGCAGCACCGTCCCTGGTTACCAATAGACAGCACTTGTGAATTATTAAACTTCTGCCTTGTATAAGATGATGCACTCTGGGCCAGGACTTGGTCAATTAATGGGTGTCATGATGGTTATTTACATGTACAAATTATTTACATTTAAATATTAAATGTAATAAAATTCCAACATCTGGTTTCATTCCACTTCTAATCTTTAATCTTGATCTTGAAAAAGAAAAAAAAGTTCCACCTACTTTTTTTGGGGGGGGGTTAGATAAAGACGGGACAGATTGATATTGATTGAATCCCCCATCACATCTTTTACACAGTGAATGATTAGCAAGATGTTTAGGCTCAAGAAAAGGTCACATACTTTATAATCTAGTATTTTAGTGGCTAAACTAGGTCACCTTTAGTCTAGCAAACAACAATTTTAATGCTAAAATACTATAATAAAACTTAAGAAAAAAATCTTAAAGTAAATTTTCTGTGTGGTGGGTAAAATGATCAAAATGTATATCAAATGAACACTGTCCCTGGCCGTGTGACGAAGGAGGTATAAGGTCATCTATCGCAGTGGTTCCCAACTCTAGTCCTGGAGGCACCCCAACACTGCACGTTTTGCATGTCTCCTTAATCAAACACACCTGATTCAGGTCATCAGCTCATTAGTAGAGACTCCAAGACGGGTGCCCAAACTCAGTCCTGGAGGGCCAGTGTCTTGCAGAGTTTAGATCCAACTTGCCTCAACACACCTGCTCCAATGTTTCTAGTATGTCTAGTTAGAGCTTGATTAGTTGGTTCAGGTGTGTCTGATTGGGGTTGGAGTTTGGGCACCCCTGCTCCAAGACCTGAAATTGGTGTGTCAGAGAAAGGAGACATGCACAATGAGCAGTGTTGGGGTGCCTCCAGGACCAGGGTTGGGAACCACTGATCTTTCAAATAACCCACTCATTGGTCTTGGGGAGAGGATGCCCATCAATAACAGTTTTGTCCTGTAAATGTCAGCGGTGGCCATGGCCAAAATATAAAACAAGTTCAATGTCCAGCACATTTTTAAGCCAATTTTCAATGCCCCTCTGTTAAAGAAACTATTTGCTAATTTTAGTTAAATAAAGACACTGCTGAAATGTTGTCACATATTTTGAGTTTGTAATTGATTTTATATTTAAAAAAGGAAAATAAATAAATGCATGGCATATTTTACGCAAATATGACTACATTTTTAATTAAAAAAAATGTTTATTGATTAACTTTGTATAGCTGAACTACATTTCCCAACATGCACTTCCTGTATAATCTGTCCCGCCCCCTTTTTTGAGTGACAGGTTGTTTGTTTCACTGTTACCAGCTGCTGGCCCATTCCAATCCTTGTCGGAGTGGAAACACGGGGGCCGACAGTCCTCTTTTTTTTCTCCCTTCCCGTTTACCTCGTTGTGCTTTCTTTTATTTCACCCTGCTTTACTCTCTTTCTCTCTTTTCCTCGGCAGACAACTTTTCCTTTTCTCTCCCCTCCTTTCCGCTCCGTTTGAAGGTTTTAAAGCCCTGTCCATAAGCTCTAGTTATTTATTTCTTTCTTTATTCTTTCTTGTTTTATCAAAACGGAATAGGCAGTTATATTTTTTTAGATGTACCACAAATGAGAAGACGCAAAAGATGGAGCTGCACATTTTAGAGCACAGTTTAAAAGTAGCAAGTATAGCGAAAGAGGGCATCCAGATTTGCACTCACGGATTAATCAAACTAGCTTTTCTGCCCTCTAAAACAAGGTAAGTAGCTTCACGAATCAAGTCTGCGTTGTGTTAAACCTGTAATGACTGTCCGTTAAATGTCTTCTTGGAGAATCTGACGCGGAATTACATTAGTTTACCGCTACGCACCTCTTATGAGGCAGATGCAGTTCCAGCGCTTCTTTACGTTTTTAATCCAAATGTCTATTTGCTCCATGCAAGAGGCGCATGACATCATCAAGCAAGCGGTCATGGGTGTTTTGTTTCGCGGTAATGGTTGTCTGTGCGGTTGCTGCTTACGTTAGTTCGACGGTAGAGGGGTGTGTGTACGTGCTCGGGGTTGTTTTTCTTCTTGTGCGGCGGTATAAAGATACGGAGGTGGATGTTGCTTTAAATCCCCCCGTCTGTGATGCTGCTCAATGCACGATCACGTATTCAGCATCACGGCTTTGATACAGATGAAGGGGGCATCCTGATGACTTGATGTGAAGCTTATCCTTTCGGCGCTTTAATGAAAACTGACCTGTTTTGATCAGTTTGACAGAGATCCGTTTGAGCTAAACTCGGTGGCGCTGGTGGGAAAAAAAACCTGTAAACAACTGGAAGAGGAGGGGAAAAGTTGTGGCCTGAACATGATTTGCATGCATTTGCTGCATAGGCTCACTGCCTGTGAACAGATATGTGCTTTTGCCACCTTTTGTGTTTGGTAATGCACATTCATTGCTGCTGGTAACGTTCTGCAGTTGTTTATTCTCTCATACTGATACACCCTCAGATGAGGGTCTTTGTGAAAGACCATCTATTCATAGAGTCTCAAATGCCCCTTGCTGTGTTTGTGTAAGCAGAGTGTGTGAGCACATCTCCAGTCCGGCTACGGAGTCTGAACCTCAGGGAGAAACAGCCTGCTCAGTCATTTAGGCTGTGGACACACACACAGGCCTCTAGCTAGAGTTAAAGTGGTTAGGTTGCATGTCTGCTTTAGTGTCTTTATTTAAAAAAATTCAGTGGTTTAAATCAGGGGCCTAATTCCCATCAGGCCCCTTTTATTTTGCATGTTTACTTGCTCTTGCGTTTCATAAATCTAATTTTCTAGGACCGTTCAGAATGCTTTATTGGTTCTATGCTTATAATGGCTGTGATGTTCGGCATATTGTTTTGAAAAGGTCTTGCTGCATTCAAGAGACTCCAGTTAAGCAAATATCAAACAAGTAGCCTAAGTGTGATAGATACTGGCTTTGACAATTTAAAAAAAAACATCAATCGACAACAAGTTGGACATGTTTGAATAGGAAACTTTTCTCTAGAGATCAAAGATGTTTTGTCATGACTCAGAGCCTGGAACAGCAATGATGACATCACCTCCGATCGAAAGGAAAAATACTGAAAATCGCAAAGTAACGTCTCGGCAAAAACATTCAAGGTCTGCCTACAAATGCAGGATTATTAATTTGCGAATTGAAGATTTATCACAGTAAAAAGCGAACAGCATTGCTTCAGGGTTTTCTATTGTATTCAGTGCTGTATGTCTTGCCCAGCAGGCCATGAAATCCATTTTAACAGCTTTTTTTTTTTTTTTTTTTTTTTAGTTGTAATTTCTGTTTTAACTGGCTCTTGTTATTTATGGAGCTACTCTGTTATGATATGGCTTCTTTTCTGATTTTGAATCTTTGAATTGATTCTGACTTGGCAAACACTTTTATGCAGTTAGGGGATGGGGGGTACAATTGTTTTTCTGTTGCAGAGGCACAGCTTGAATCAACTTATTTAGTGGCTGTTTGTGAAGTGTCTCAGAGTGATGCAGAATGTGCACAAAACAAGGGAAGCTCTGGAAATAGTTGCTTACAGTTTGAAACATTGTTGCCAGCCCTTGGGTTTCACTCTGTCCAGCAAGGAGATTTTGTTTACTCAGTAAGATACAATGAAACAACACAGTTAACCAAATGCAGTGTCACCATTGAAACAAAACAAAAAACTAAATATATTTAAATATATTAGTGCTTTATTAAACATAAAAGTGTGTGTGTGTGTGTGTGTGTGTGTGTGTGTGTGTGTAAACTTTCTTAAATAAAAATACGTTTACTTGAGGTGCAAACTGAACGGTTTGTCTTGTCTGAGAAATGTAATGAAATTGAGTGTATACTTCAAACAAGAACAAATATCTGTCAATGGGGTATGAAAACTTGTTTTCCCTTTGAATTAAGAGTATTTTTCTGGCCCCATTCATAATATTTTTTCTTGTTTTAATCATAAACTGACTATTTTAATCAATTTCCCAGAAGACAAGTAATTTTGCTTTTCAATATATCTGGATTTAGAAATCTTTAGACATTTGCACTGGAAAACAAGACAAAATTACTAAGGAAGAGCATCACTTTTGCAGTGTGATCAGAAGGTATGGTGGAAATTATTTACACATTAAAATAAAAGGTAATGGAGATCCATTGGAAGTTGTATTTTCAAACATTGAAGTGTTGCTAAACTTATTGTCTCTTTACACATTTACATTCACAGAACATATTGGCATGTTCCCTTCAATTTATTGCTTGAATTGTCTTTAGCTTAAAAAGGTATAAAAGATTTGCATTTACCTTTAAAAAAACAAAACAGAAACCCTGTTAAAAATAGAATATATTTTTCAGTGTTTCAGGTGTCGATCTGTTGGAAGTTCAGTAAGCCTAGTATTAAGCATTACAGTCATCACAACAAATAATAGTAATAACTGGGCCTATTTACTCTCTTAATAGTTGCATTTGGGCTTTTTGTACAGAATTCTGTGGTGCGCGTTATTCCAAAGACAAAATGTCTTTGTAATACTAAATCAAGAAGTATTAACTTGCTCCACCTCTGAACTCCTTTTCGGCTGACGTCAACAAGAATTCATGTTTTTTAACCCCTCCAACCATCTGGCTCTCTTCTAGTTTGTATCATATCACAATACAATCAATTCCCAGTGGATAAAATCAAGTATGGGCCTACATTCTTCTAATTTTACTCAGAAATGCACAATGATACAGGAGTAAAATGCGAATCATTTTGATTTTGTTTAGACTTTAAATGTTGATTTTAAAGGATAGTTCACAAACCAACAAACAAGTAAATAAAAGCTTTGTATGAACCAAAAAATATTTTATAAAAAAAAAAAAACGTCTTAAAATATCTTCTTTTGTGTTTCCCAGAAGAAAGAAAGTCTTACTGTTTTGGACATGAGGGGGTTTCATTTTGGTGTGAACCAAATGCGGAAGTTGTGTTGTCTATTATAATAATAATAATAATAATAAAATTGTTCTTCTGCTCCAGTGGCTTTCACTGGGTGATGTTATAGTGTGATGTTTTTAGACTTCAGGTAAGCAGTCTTTATTTCCAGCAAAATTACCGGATAAACAGGAACAGCTTATAAATTCAGGGATTCTCCCATAAAAATGGAAATAAAAAGGAAGTGGCTAACATATTTTTAGATAAACTGCTGGAATCAATAATTATTTGGTTGTGCGTTTGAAAATAAGATTCAATGTGTTTGTCCTCAGAGACCTCAGGAACGGTTGTTAGGAGCACATTTCTGAGCGAGTGAGTCATAGCCTGTTGAAAATTTCCAATGGAGATGTTTTGTTGTTCTGATTTAAGGGCATAAGACCTGCCTCTATGATTATTGCTTTGATTTATTTGCTCATCTCAGGACTCAAATTAGTGTAGATCCATCACGTCTCTCTCCACACTCGGTGACTCAAATTCAGCTCAAAGCTGAATTAATTCTTAGTGCTGCAGAAAGGTGGATTTTTACATAGAAAAATAAGTGAGTCAGTCTATTGCACAGCATCTGAGCATTTCCTATTTTCCTATCCCTGCTTTAAATAATAAAACAATTCAAGCAGTACTTCATTAATACCATACTTTAGATATCTTTCTGTACTGCAATGCTATGTCATTTCACCTTTAGGCTGAAGGGGATTTCAAATGATCACACAGCACCAGAAATGTCCGACAGCTTGCAAAAACCTTTAAAAAAAATCCCCCTTCCCCTCCAGCACCACTTTGGCAGTATCAGATAAGATGCTGCTATCCAGAGTCAACAAGTCGCCTGCTTTTCCCCCAGAGGCAAAATGATACACTGTGGGTGTACAGGCCCATAAATAAGGACCCCTCTTACCTGGTGTCCGGAGCCGTTTGTGGTGCACAAGCAGCGTTATGAGCCAGCTGCGGCTGCCTAGCATTTATGCAGAAATGTATGCAGGCTTATATTTGCACAGGCACATTCAGGACAGATATATTTTCCTGTTTTGTCATCTTTGGGGAAATAAATTATACTGTGTGTGTGAAAAGCTGGTAAAATCAGCATTTAGCTGAACAATTATATTCCTGAATGATTCATTTAGAGCATTTGATAAAATTATTAATTTGAAACGATTATGACATCAGGGTGACATGGCTGTCCTCCTGACATCATAATAAAGAAAAAAAGAATGAGTTTCTTAAAATGAAAAATACTTTAGATTTTGCATAAACCTTTATTATTATTTCATAGGAAAGTATTTTAACAACAGCTTATTAATATTGGTGATGAAAAAACGCAGTCATCACAGTAACTGACAATTTCTGGTGGGACTTGGCAAATATAGCCACACCACCCCCACATATGGTCACATTGCGCAACTCCTCGAAAACCTTATAAGCATGCCTATTATTAACGTATTGGCTGTTTATTAGTACTTATAAAGCACATATTCTGCATGACCATATTCTACATTCCTAATCCTACCCAATACCTAAGCTTAACAACTGCCTTACTCACTATTAATAAGCAGTAAATTAGTAGTTTGAGATAAATGTCATATAGCAATGGTTTGTAATAGCAAGAGTTGGACCTTAAAATAAAGTGACCGAAAATATTTATAATATATGAAAATAATGATTAAGATATTTACACTTAAGCTTATGTATTCGTAGTGCAAGGAAACATTTTACTGCATGGTTACACCATGTGACATTTTAGAATCATTAAATTATAATCATTAAAGGTCCCATATTGTCAAAACTGAAATTTCCTGGCTTTTTTCACGATTACTGAGGTCTAGGTGCTATGTAACTACCATATAAGTTTCAAAACAGTAAGTCCACAGTAAAATTCACACAGCCTGCTTAAAGTTCTAGCTATTTTTCACGAACCGTTGTGACTTCCGTAAAAAGTTGACGTCAGAACTACACGGTCACCGCCTTCAGTCACCACCCCGAGCACCACCCACCGTCCCTCTCCTTTTGCCAAACCCCAGAAAACATCGCGTCCATGCTTTTGCTGAGCAAGGACAACACGGAAACATGTCAAAAAAGGTTAACTTTAACCATGAAACCAGATCGGCCGACCTGTAACGTTACACTCTCACTCAAAGGATGGACGATCTGACAGGATTGTTCGACCTGTTCTCAGCAGAGCTCCTGAGAGAGGAGCTGTAAAAATATATTGAGATGGTTTTTGGTACTTATACCGCAAATATATATTCTTAAGGACATCAAAACCTCAAATAAAACTCCAGAAAGGTGTACAATATGGGACCTTTAAAGTTATTTTTCTAAGCTTAGTAGTTTTTGGATTTCTCTAAGCTGGTCTTGGTTATTCTTCTATCTTTCATGTCCATTCAGAAACAGTGCACTAAAGTTTAAAACTTTAAATCCCTAAGCCTGAGCAATTGACTGTTTGGTATTTATCAATGAATTGTTCATTGATATACAAAAATGACATTTTCCCTTTAAAGAAAAAACATTTTTACTTATTGGTTACATTCACTGATCTATATAATGACTATATATATATATATATATGTATGTATATGTATATATATGTGTGTGTGTGTGTGTGTGTGTGTGTGTTCTCTATTATAGATCAGTGGTTACATCATTAAATTAAAACTTTTCTTGAAAATGGTACTTAACTTACTGTCTAAATTCTTTATGAAGTTCTTCTGGTCCTTAGATATGACCTGTTGCTTGTCTCTCTCTCTCTCTCTTTTTAAACTTACAAAATTGTCCATTCAATAATGCGTCAAAGTTTAATTCTTCAAATCCCTAAGCCTGAGCAAAAGACCTGCATGCAGCCTGTGATCTCTGTGAGGCTGAGTAAATTAATGTTCATAGAAGCTTCTCAGGAATATGTTATTAACTTTTATTCATTACTCTGCTCCTTCTTGGCTCATAATTTCCATCTCTTTCTCTCTTTGCTTTTTTCCAGATGTAAGTTCTTTAGTTTAACCGAAACTCCGGAGGATTACACCATTATCGTGGATGAAGATGGCTTTAAAGGTAGGTCTTGTGGTTACTCTTTTACTAAGAGTGCAGTGGGTTTAGTGCAGCGAGGCAAGATTAAATCATGTAAAGTATCACAGATTCTCTATAATTCCTTGTAGCTTGACTCACTGCCAATGTTTGACCACATATTGCTCCATCAGTGGTCCCCCCCACATTTCCATTATGGGTTACTAGAGGCGAAGCTGTCAGTGGCTTTGGTTTTGTGGTTGATTAAGTGAATCCATGTCATTACACACTGGTTACCAAGGTGAAACCCGTTTGTAGCCATGGATACCAGAAGCTCTGTGTTGCGAAATGGGTACAGGTATTTTAAAATACCCGGACATTTGTGAGTTTGTTGCCAGCTTTTCTGGCCATATTTTTTCTGGAGAATTATAAATCTGAAGCATGAAAGTGGTAGAACATTTTTCTGCTCCTGATTTTCCCAGTGCTATCAATTCATGTTTGTTAGCTTTGAGACCATTTTAATGTTCTCAAAGTGCTAAACATCAACAAAATCTTATTTTTCCAAGAAAACAGAACAAAACTTATTGGTAACTCGTTTCTGTTGTCTGTTTCAGAGTTGCCGGAGTCTGAGTATCTCAGTGTGGCCGATGCAACATGGTTGGCTCTTAATGTGGTGTCCGGGGGCGGAAGCGCTACCAGCTCTCAACCAATCGGAGTAACAAAAATCGCAAAATCAGTCATCGCCCCATTGGCAGACCATAATATCTCTGTGTTCATGCTGTCAACATACCAGACTGATTTCATATTGGTGAGTGTCACAGATGCTTAGACTATAGAGAGCAAGAAATAATTGCCTAATTATTATATTCCAAATTCATGTACTATTTGCATTTCCGCCAGAATTAAGGAGTTGTTTTTTAGTCAGTTATTTTTCTCCATTAAAACAATTGACACACAAAGAAGCACATGACACCCTCATATAAGTAAGGAAATTCATATGTAAGCATCATTTATATTTACTGAAAAACTAATTTCAGAGATTTTAGCATAAACCTAGTTCAGGGGTCATCAGTTAGCTTGGTTCCTTCCGGACTGTGAGACAATGCGCTCACCATTTCTACAGTTTAAGTGAGCAGTGCAATCAAACAACAGAGCAGTTCACACCATAAGTGCTTAGTTGTCATTTTTAATATCTAGCTCCATAGTTGGTGCTTTTAAGCCCTTTTTGGTCCATGTACATTGCTTCTCTCCCTTGCTAAAAAAGTAAAGCATCGCATTACTAATTAAAAAAAAAAAATCATAACTTGGTTATTTTAACAACAGCAGTGCTGAGCAATACAAGAACTTGATCCTTTTGTCAAAACACTGTAGAAACAAGAATGCAGCAATATCAAATGTATTTGACTCAATCCATTAAACTAAATCAAGTTTGTGAAAAATTAATGGAACCTTTACACAAATTTTTCAACTACAGTTAGAATTATTATTTTAGCGTTTCATCAAAAACAGTATTCTAACTGGCATTGATCCAAACCTGTTCCTGGAGGGCCAGTGTCCTGCAGAGTTTAGCTCCAACCCTAATTAAACACACCTGAAGCAGCTAATCAAAGTCTTCAGGATTATTAGAAAGATCCAGGCAAGGGAGTTGGAGCTGGCTGAAAATAAACTCTGCAGGACCTTCGCTCTTCAAGAGCAGGATTGGACACCCCTGAATTATATCATTTCTAGCATGGATGGGCAAGAAGCAGACTGTATTAAAAACAAGAAGAGATACTTTGAATTTACTAGTTAGCCTGGTGATTTGGTTTTTGCTAATGCTAAAATGTAAAAACAATATGCTAATAGTCCTGATTAAACAGCTGATCTTACATTTTAATATTTATATCCAGTTTGGCTCAGCTGATGATGAAATATCTTAATGTTTTTGGAGAAATAATCTTATACACCACAGCTTTGGCTCAATAGCTTTATCCTTGATGACTATTTTGACTTTTTTTATTTTTTATAAAGTACTACTGCTGATCACATGAAAATGTATAACTATTCCAAAAACGTTCTATCCCCGGACTGGGATAGAAAATACAGAGACTGGACCTCTTTTAAGTTTAATTTAACACCCCTGACCTAGATAAAGTCTGTGGGAAAAGTTTTGTTCTCTCTTGTGTGATTCACATCACTTTTGGCTCATACGGCATCGCATAGAATTGTCTCTGACTTATTCTGGAGTTTACACTTACTTAGACAACCCTCATTACTTGAACTGTAGGAAATTATATTAATCCACACATAAAGAACTAAAAATCAATATAAGGATAAAAAAAAATGCTATCCACCTTATTTTTCCCGTAGGAGCAGGCGTGGCCATTTGTAAATTTAATGTGTTTGGCTTCCTGTGTGATCCGCTTCCAGCTATTTTTAGCTGTTCAAAACTGCATGTTTTGCTGCTTGATATTGCAAACTGTTATGTCTTGCCATATTATTTTAAGGTATTATCTTAATTATGAGCACACTGGCTCGTAGTGCAAACAGTTTTACCATTTACTACACTTTGTTATTCTTGTTATTTCCCT